GTCGTAGGCCCCTATGTATGCTTTGAAATGTACCTAAACAGTTGTTAATTCTTATAGCTGCTGTTTGTTGCCAATACATATTCTTTATTATTCGTAGATCTTTCCCATCAATGTTTAATTTTTCTAACAGTTTGATTGCCTTCTTCATGCTTCCCACAGTCAAATGCTTTTGAATAGTCTATGAAGAATATGTACAAATCAGTCTGTACTTCTATAGTTCTTTCTGATAATGTCCTTAGGATGTTTATGGCATTGTTTGTACCTTTTCCTTCTACAAATACACATTGTTCATCGCTGATTTCTGGTTTAAGTTTGTTTCTTATTCTTCTCATAATTATTCTCAGTAAAATCTTAGTCATGTGACTCATAAGACTTATTGTGCGATGGTCTTCACATTTTATAGTGCCTGGTTTCTTAGACATAGCTATAAATATGGATTTTAAAAGGTCATTTGGAATATACCCACTATTATAAATATCATTTAAAAGTTTAGTTATTATTTCAATTCCAAAATCTCCCAGTGCTTCGATTTCTTCCAGTGAGATGTTGTCTGGCCCGGGTGCTTTTCCTTTCTTCATATGATGTATTGCATCCTCAACTTCTGCAGTCATTATTGGTGGACCATCATTGTTGGTCTGCTGTTCTACATCTGGTCTATTATCATCATACAATTCCCCTATATACTCTATCAATCCGTTAATTATATTACTATGTCCCATTAATAAGTCACCATCTTTTGATTTCAAACATCCAGTGCTGTTACGTGTCATCTTTCCTGTTAACATGTTTATCTGTTGGTACATGGAATGTGAGTCTTTCCTGTTGTTTCCCCCAATCTCTGTACACATTTGATTCAGCCAAGCTTCTTTAGCCACTTTGCATTTGTTCACTATTTCTTGTTGTACTCTAGAGTATTCTTCTTTAATATTCTTTTTCTTCCTTCTTTCATCCATCAACTGCAGAATTTCGGTTGACATCCATTTCTTTTTTGCAACTATATGGGTTGGTGGGATTGTCTCTTTAGATGTCTGCTGAATTGACTCGCGCAACATATCCCACTGTTCATCAATAGTCTGTATAATTTCCATTGCATTATACCGGTTTTGTACAGTGACATTGTACTGGTCCTTAATTGCTGTATCTGTTTTATGAATTCCTAAATTTAACTTGATGTTCTGTGGTGTTTTTCTAATGTTCTTTAGTTTTATTCTAATTTTTCCTACAACTGGAACATGGTCACTAAAGCAGTCTGCTCCTGGTCTAGTTTTTGCTCCAACTAAGCTGCTCCGGAATATTCTTGAAATCAAAATATAATCAATCTGATTGCGGACATTATCTTCGAGGATGGTGTTTAAACCAGGTGTTACCTATTATCATGCTGCGTGACTCAGCCCATGCTAGTAATCTGTCACCTCTCACATTCTTTTCTCCTAGGCCATAGCCACCCGTTATTCCGTACACTTTTTCCCTTCCTATTTTCGCGTTGAAATCTCCAAGTACCATTGTTACTTCACAATTGTTGCATTGATCAACAGCCATGTCTAACTCGTCATAAAATGCGTCAATATCTTCCTCTGAACTATCTGCTGTTTTGGCATAAATCTGTACTAAGTCGATGTCAAGCGGTCTGCCGCGAAGTTTTACTAATAGTACCCTATCTGATATTGTCCAAAATCCTTTCACAGTTTTTGAGTTCATTGGATCCAAAATAATACCACCTCCCTTACTATATTCCTTCCCACCCGAGTTAATAATTCTGTACTGATCTGAATAAAAAGATAGGGCTTTAAAATGAATGTCAGACAAGACCAATATGTGATTTTAGATTGCAAAGTGATTAAGCAGTTTGCTTTATGCGCTGTAAGTTGTTTCGGTTTCTGGCTTCGCCAATACAGAGAACCCCGGAGGTAGCAGCACTTGTCAACAGAACGATAAGGTTCAGATGCCATGGTTGTTGACTGATCCTTATTATTACTATTTTTATTATTATTATCATCATCGTCATCGTCATCATCATCATCATCATCATCATCATCATCATCATCATCATCATCATCAGTATTGGGTTTTGTTCACACAGACACTTAACAAATAAATACTGAAAAAAGCAAATTAAAAGACAAAATAAATGCCCCATGAAACAAACCAGACAGGATAACCCGGACAACAGAAACTTAAAGAGTCGGATAGTCAACTGAAAAGGGCCAGTATTACAGCTTTGCTGTCAACTGGAACGATACAATCATGTCCTCAGGCCAACTAGAAATAAAAAAAAAACATGGAGCGTTCAGGTTACAGGGACAAAAAGAAAAGATGTCACCAGGTCTGAAACTTCAAGAATCTCATCCCGGATGATGAAGCAATATGGCAGTCACCTATACACCGTTCAACCTCATAAGACGCTATATTAGGGAATGTATGACGACTGCACTGGTAAGTAGTGTAGCCTGCAGTTTAATGTGGGTGGGTATTGAATGATTGGCACCTTTCCGTCTTTCCAGGCGATAGTGCTATATTGCGCTATGAGGAGACATAGGACTCACAGCCCATGGCGATGGCGAGTAGCAAGAGTATTTATGGGTATTGATGTATACATTTTTTGGTGTAAACGTTGTCATATCCGTAACTATTTTCTCATATGAGCCGCTGTCAGCAGGTTTGACACTTTGAGATTACACAAACTCAGTCTAGATGGCAGACCAGCAGGGCAACTTCTAGATACCCCGTTCAAACCTCTAGAAAGTGTAGTTGGTTCACCCGTTACGGCTACATCTTCTCGGCGTAATCTGCGGTCCTGGGAATATATATCGAATAATGCATTGTAATTGTTTTTTAAGCCCCCACTACCTTCCGGGATTGCTGACTAGATGGTGGTGTGCAAGCTGTTTGTAAACACAATTAGACGAGTGCAGCTTTGATAAATCTAGGCCAGGAGAGGAGAGGGTGAAAGAGTCCGAGCAAGAATCAACCTTGTTTAGTGTCCTAATCACGTTAGGTCGTGAGTGCAACGACTGGCCAGCTGGTGCTGAAGAATCAGAAGTTCAATAAATGACAATTCCCACTCAAGTGATGTGATTATCTATACAGATGGCTCTGTGTTGAGAGGTAGACGAAGTGCATAGGGGTTTATAGCAAAAGCGAATGGGCGTCGCTTAGTGCAACAAAGTCTGGCATATGATATCACAACATTTAGTTTGAAAATAGAGGTGGGGCAGTCACTGCTACCTTCTGCTGTAATGAGAATCAGCTGTACACACATGACGTAGTTGTAACTCACCCACAGAGCATGCTGAGAATGGTGGAGTCAGGCATGCTCCGTGCGGAGTGGCAAGCATCGCTTCAAAGGTCCTGTGTAGTTAGCGTCTTTTGGATATTTTCTCCAAGTGATAGTGGTGTATTGAGAAATGAGTAGAGAGATAGACTGACCGGTTCTGTATCATTTGGTGGTGAGTTGATGTCTGACAAGCTAGATGTTGTAAGGCCTCTGAGAACGATTGAACAAGGTGGAGGCACAGATGGATCATTGCGGTCTGTAGAGAATGGCGCTAAGGAAAGTTACCAGGTGATCTGTCCGACGCTCAACACTCAGGAAATAGCGAGACGGATATACAATCAGACAGCTACTGGTACCATCGGAATTGGAACTCTTCGCTTGCTGCTGACGATTGGGAACGGAGTGTGCTATGATGTCGATTCATAATTCAAAACACCCACTCTGCATGCTTTATTGTGAGTTTGTGCACTGCTCTGAGATTCTTCTTGTGTGTGGTGCAGATAGGAGTATTATTGGAGATGTCCATATATGATGGAAGTGATCTTTTAGAACAACTGTTCATAACCTGTGGGTCACGACCTTTTTTGGGGGGTCAAATGACCCTTTCACAGGGCTCGCTTTAAAACATCGGAAAACACATAATCACTGAAGTCATGAAGTAGCAAGGAAAATAATTGTATAGTTGGGGGTCCCCACAGCAAGAGGAACTGTATTATAGGGTACAGCATTAGGAAGGTGAACATTTTCTGTCTGTAGATTAACATCTCAGGGATAAGAATCTAACCACCATGGAGACTGCGCTCAGCAGTATAACACAGTTATATTGGAGCACCATAAAATGGGTACTAAGTAACCTGTAGTCCAGTGTGGATGACCTTCGCCCATTGTCATAGGCTTAGTGCAGTTATGTATTTATTCAATGAATATGATCGGGAGGGTTTAGTGTTAAGGCAAGGGGTTGAATCATTACAGAAGTCACCTGTGCGTGGAATCATATTTATTGTCGTTCAGGGAAATGTAGGCGTTGATGGAAATGAAAGAGAGATAGGTTGGTTGGATCCGCTGTCACTAACGACGGGCACCCTATCGATCATGCTGATATTAATAATGTCCGAGTATTAGGAAGTGTGGAATGACTGACTGACTTTCTACCCCACCAGGACATCACACAGGCGATAAACACCCGATGACACAAAGTGCCACCATGTAGATGAGGATCACCGTGGAGAGGTCCCAGAAACCGCGTTCAGACAATTGGCCATATTTATGGCCTGCATATTTTGCGGCCCCTGGCAAAAGCCAAGGTGGGGCTGAAGTGTGGAATGGAAGACTTTGACACAGAATGATAGACTTGGGAGTTAAGATCGGCTTTGAAAAAAAAAATATGTTCAAAATAAATAAGTTTCTGGAATTCATCACATATGCTTTTCTTATAATGGTATAAAATGCTCCAAGGTGAAACCATAGTATATTTTTTTTACTGCAAGGAATTTTAAGTTCATATTTCACTTGATGTGAAATTAAAGCAAATCTTGAAGAAAAAAAAAAAAATGCAGAAAACAAAAGTCTAGGAGAAACAGTTCCGGTGCATATTTTTACTCAACTAGAAGGGAAATAACTCTATAATGCGTAGTTGAGATGAAACCATCAAAAAGTAGTTTACAATTACAACCTTAACCTAGTGTTGTTGACTGTAGCTCAGAATTCATATACGCAGGCCAGTACCATGGCTGAATCACAGCCGAGTACCTCAAGAAAGCCAGAAAATGGAGTAACACAAACGATAGTAATAGACAAAGTTGAAGAGGCAAATGGTGAACAGGTAACTTGTAATTTATAGTTTTAATAAACTTTTAATTAATTCAATAAATGAAATGTGTCAGTGTGAAATTAAAAATTATCTGTAAAGTAAATGGTGCTAATTGCGAGTTCTTAATGGGTTTAAACTCGAACTTTTGGTTAAGATCGACAGTCCCTGCAAACCAGGAAAAACCGCTAGCAGCCTAAAAAGAAAAAAAAATAGCTGTGGTTTATGGTTAGCCTGGCGTTCAATAATGATAGGGTCATTCATTCATTCATAAGAAGGATGCGAAGTGAAGTCGACGTTTGCAAGGACCGACCCAGAAAACAATTACGTCGCTGCGTAGACTGAACACTGACTGTGGATAAGTCATAAATAAGCGGGATTTTGAAAAGAGTATCCATGATACTATTGTCCATAGACTATAAATTGGACACCAGAATTGGATAAAACTGCATATTTAAGAAAAAAAAAGAATTGCTCATCTTGGATTTAAAGTTTTAAGTATGGTTTCAGCAAGAAGGGTCATAATGTGGAGGGGTATTAAAGTATTAATAGTGGGATAGGAAGCCAGCATTTGTTTACAGCCAGTGTTTGCGACTGTCGCCTTCCAGCTATTTAAAGGAGAGCCAAATATTTGGCTATCTTCCGAATAACGGTCCCAGATTATTGAAGCCGAAAATATACCCTAACAGGACATAAGTCAGATGTAATATGCGGACTTCCAGCGACTTAAATTGCGCACTTTCGGGGACTACCGTCACCGCTGAGAGTATCTCCCATGCGGCTACACGCAGCTTGGATTAGGGCTAAAATAAATGGCTGGGACTCATGAGCAGCAGCTACCGCATCTCCTGCAGCTTCCTTCATTTTATTTGCTCATGAGTCCCAGCCATCTAGTTTAACCCCACTTCACGCGTAGTGGCGTGGAAGATACTCTCGGCGGTGGCGGAAGTCCGCAATTTACATGTGACTGAGGCCCTGTTAAGGTATATTGTCGGCCTCGATAATTTGGGACCGTTATATGGAAGATAGCCAAATATTTTGTTATCCAATCACCAAAAGATACGTTTATTCATAAACAATTTTTTTCACTTTAGTAATATGGGAAGATAGAGATGGGTTAGGTCCGAAGACAGTCGTTGGAGTCCCAGACGTGGTCATGTTAGATAAAGATCAGTTTGATGTTTGTGCCAGAGATCGCAGGCGTAAAAGGAAATGAACAAGCTGATAGGCTTGCAGGTAAGGCTTATGCAGATGAGCAGTAGATCAGCCAGATATGCTGTATGGGAAGAAGGTTGTTTGCAAGAATCAAATGATAACTTCGAATCTGCAACCATGACCAAACTGCAGGAACAGCAGTTGAAAAGGGGTGAGGCAAGAAGGAGCATTTATGCAGGCAGTTAAAGAAGAAGAATAAATCAACACAGAACTGTTTGTCATCAGCCACTACAAAATATGGGATTTGCTGAAGATGAGATCTCGGCATATGTGGACTGAATGGTTCGACGTGGAATGAGGATGATATGTTGATTAACTCACTAATGTAGAAATATTTATGGTGATGCCACGGCAAACAGAAAATGTACAAGAATTAGAAATAAATAACAGGAATTACAGAGGTACATAACAGAAAGTGTACAGGAGTTGCAGAGCATAAATAACAAACAGTGTACAAGAGTTGCAGAGCATAAATAACAAAAAGTGTACAAGAGTTGTAGAGCATAAATAACAGAAAGTGTACAAGAGTTACAGAGCATAAATAACAGAAAGTGTACAAGAGTTACAGAGCATAAATAACAAAGTGTACAGGAGTTAACAGGCATAAAAAACAAATTGTACAGAAGTTGCAGAGCATAAATAACAGAAAGTGTACAGGAGTTAACAGGCAAAATAACAGAAAGTGTACAGGAGTTAACAGGCATAAATAACTGAAAGTGTATAGCAGTTAACAGGCATAAATAACAGAAAGTGTACAGGAGTTAACAGGCACAAATAACAGAAAGTGTACAGGAGTTAACAGGCAAAATAACAGAAAGTGTACAGGAGTTACAGGCATATATAACAGAAAGTGTACAGGAGTTACAGGCATAAATAACAGAAAATGTACAGGAGTTAACAGGCATAAATAACAGAAAGTGTACAGGAGTTAACAGGCATAAATAACAGAAAGTGTACAGGAGTTAACAGGCATAAATAACAGAAAGTGTAAGGAGTTGCAGAGCATAAATAACAGAAAGTGTACAGGAGTTGCAGAGCATAAATAACAGAAAGTGTACAGGTGTTACAAAGCATAAATAACAGAAAGTGTACAGGTAAAGGAGTTAACAAACATAAATAACAGGAAGTGTGCAGGAATTGCAGAGCATAACAGAAAGTGTACATGAGTTGCAGAGCATAAATAACAGAAAGTGTACAAGAGTTAACAGGCATAAATAACATAAAGTGTACATGAGTTGCAGAGCATAAATAACAGAAATTGTACAGGAGTTGAAGAGCATAAATAACAGAAAGTGTACAGAAGTAATAGAGCATAAATAACAGAAAGTGTACAGGAGTTAACAGGCATAAATATGCAAATTAGCCAACTACAATTATAATAATTCCACGGCATGACACATAATAAAGATGTATATAAAATATTTAAACTGAGTTTTTCAACTCATTTTTTAATCTGCTAATGTTTTACATTTGTAGTCCAGAAGAAGAAGAAGTTAGGGGGAAAAAAACAACACTATCTTCAATGCTTGTACTTACACTTTTAGGGCAGTGTAGGAGAAGGGGAGTCATGAGCCTGAGGGATTTAGAGAGCATGAATAGTGCAGTTGCCACAGACTATGCAGGTTAGGATTCTCATCTTTACCCTCGACAGAATAAATCTCTGTCCCTTACCAAGGATCGAATCGGGGTCTCCCGTGTGAGAGTCCCTGCGCAGTGAGTGAAAAAGTCAATTGATTCTAACGTTTTTCGTTTCAGAGCCCTCCTGTGCTCCATCTACGCTTGCAACCTCCCAAGAATGAGAGCAAAGTGAAGTGGTCTACAGACACAGTTGATAACGAGTGCATGGGGAAAAAGAAATCTAAATGTAGGAACCTATCTTGTCTTGTATGAATAATGTTGAAAGGATATTTGCGGTCACAACTGCCAATTAAGTAAGAGGGACTTCTGACCCGGGACACCAGGGTTGTGCTCTGTGTAATTGTTACGGGTGCCTTAATATAGTGCAGACCTAATAAGGAGAACTCACAAGGGACCCAAGAAATTGTTTTTGTTATCAGAAATTCTTCTTATCCAGATAAGATTCAAGCAAGAAAAATTGCCAGGAATAAACAAATTGTTTCTTCACATCAGAAATTTGTTACATGCAAGATTGCCTTAATGATCTGCACTGTAAAAGCTTCTTAGGAGGCACAAGCGATTTATCTTCTTCCCCTGTGTTTGCTGTAAAAATTGTGTGGTTTACAGCTAGGCTGCAATTCCTGTGCCTTTAAGCCCAACACATCCAATTTCAGCCAACTCCTAAATACTTGCCTTTTACATAATGCTTGTTACTGTGTAGTGGATCTGTCACCCACCGCCCAAAAAAAGGGTCCCAGAATCCACATGGGGAACAGATATCCATTATATGACCGGGTAACAGAGGTGTCACATCTTCTGTTGTAGTCTGGAGGGAAAAAATAATCAAGACTTGCAAGCCTAAGTGCAGCTTTTTTTTTTTTTTGTCTTTCAAGTAACAAGTACAGTAGAACCTCGCTTAACGAGCACCTCTCATAACGAGTAAATCAAAATTGTAAACGAATGACTTGCTTAACAAGCGAGGTTTCGCATAATGAGTGGCGAGGAGAGGGGAAGTCCTGGATTGTGCGCATGTTACATCAATCTGTGTTTAGCACTCATTCCAGTAGCATCGTAGTGTCGCTTGTGATCACACATTTTCTCAAACTTGTGTTATATTGTGATATATGTACATGAATCATCCAGGCCTGCAAGATGACCTCTCTGAAGAAATTAAGTTCATCAAGATCCAGTTTCTGCTTCCCAACACCACTCCGTTACTCCAGCCCATGGACCAGCAAGTTATTTCTAACTTTAAGAAGCTCTACACTAAAGCACTCTTCGAGCATTGTTTTCAGGTGACTGAAGGGACCAACTCACTCTCAGAGAGTTTTGGAAAGATAACTTCCACATCGTTGCCTGCCACAAGATGAACGACACGGCTGGAGAAGGGGTTACCAAGAGAGCCCTAACTTCTGCTTGGAAGAAGCTGTGGCCGGAGAGCGTTGTCGATTTGTGACTTTGAGGGGTTCGAGACAGTACCTGTGGAACCTGTAGTAAACGAGATTGTGTCTTTGGCCACTATCATGGGATTGTAGGTGGATAACAGTGATATCGAAAAGTTTGTGGAAGAGCACATCCAAGAGCTGATCACCTAAGAGCTTATGGAGTTGCATTGTGTCTCACAGCAAGAAGTTTTGGAGGAAAGTTTGTCAGAGGAGGAGGAGGAGGAGGAGAAGGTAACAGAAAAATAACAATCTTCTGGGGAAATAAGAGAAATGCTGAAAGCATGGGAAACTGTTGCATCTTACATTGAGAAGCATCACCCTAATAAGGAAGTGGCTATGCGTGCTGCAAATTTATTTAATGAGAATACTGTGTCACATTTTCGCCAAATTTTGAAGCGTCGGCAAAACAAATGTCTCTGGACATCTTTCTAGTAAAAAAAATAATTAGCTATGTATCATAAATATTTCAACTTTATGTTTTGTTTTCTTCAAATCAAATTCGCATTCCAGGTGGGTTCGTTCCACGTTTGAAGAGAAGATAAGATGATTTACTTTTCTTAACAATATGCATATAATTTTCTTTGAATAAATGTTATACATAGCATTTTGTGAGAATTTTGTTCGATATGGAACGCATTATCGTATTTTACATTAATTTAAATGAGAACAATTGTTTCGCATAACGAGTGTTTCACTTAGCGAGTATGATTCTGGAACGAATTATGCTCGTTAAGCGAGGTTCCACTGTATACTGGCATCATGAGAGTTAACTTTAACAGACTGAAATGGTTGGGGCATATTGAAAGAATGTCAGATGACAGAGAGGTAAAAACTGTATACACGAGGGAGATGAATGGTCGTAGACCACAAGGCAGACCAAGAAGACGATGGAGAGATAACATCCAGACAGACCTGCAAACACTTGGTGTCACCAGCTGGAAAGAGAAGGCCAACCAGAGAAATGAATAGAGGTGGATGATATCTACAGCAATGAACCTCAAGGGCTCGGCATGTTAAAAAAGAAGAAGTAACAAGTATATCTTTTGAAACGTATACATTGTATGTCCTAATTTTACATGTTCATTTTTAAATATGATATCCCAGATGGATCAAATGTCAACAGTTTGTGGGAAAAAATGAGCTTGAGAAAGACAGTGAGAGCATTTTCTTGACAGTCCTCTCTTAACTGTAAAGCAAAGGACCCTTTTTTTCACACCTTCAAGCATATTGTGCACACAGGACTAGACCTATGTGTTTTAGACCACCTTTACTTCCCATGACTTTACCACCTGGTACCTATTTAAGTCTGGATTGACCTAGAAACCAAAGACATAAAAAAGTCTGGCTCCCTCAGGGCCTGAACCCATTACTTTTAGATCCACAGGTGAGCGTCTAGCCGCTACGCCACAGCGGCTGTCACCTGTAAGCATTTATTATGTTTTTCATTCGGAAATCCTATGATTCGAGTTCGTAAAATTTATGGTTTTTTTTATCCGTCCTCAGGTTGCTGCATTTATCGAAAGCCAAAAGTATTTGGAGAAGCGGACACTTCATCCTCTTCCGACAGTGATGATAGTTGTACAGAGCATTGTCGAGGGCACAAAAAGAAGTGTTACCGACACAAGCCTCTAAGCGACCACCAAGACAAAGATCACAACGATCAAGAACACCACAACTGTGATGGGCAGTGTGATATAGAGAAGGGTTAAACTACACTGTCCCAGTATTGTGTGTATATAGTCACTTTTACACAAATGTTTCTTTTGAGTTAACTCTTTCATTACCAGGCAAGATATAGTTTATCCCATACTGTCCTGGAAAATGTGTCTGTGAGAATTTGCCCCCCTCTCCCCCCATCTTTCTCGGTGGATGGGAGGATTAGGGGCTAATTCCTAGTTTTAAAACATATAATAATAACCTCTGTGCTGAATGGCAGCTAAATATAAAAAATATATTTTAAATAATATAAAATGTGTCAAGAAATACTTTTAAAAGAGATTTTCTATAAAGGACCTCTTTACAGAATTATGTGTGGGTGTGTATATATGTGTGTGTGTGAGTGTATGTGTTGGGGGGAGAAGAGGGAGGTAATTAAGCAGAATCCAACATAATCATGATAAATTTAGTACTTACTGAATTAAGTTAAAATGCATTATCACATTAATGCTTTTAGAAAGGTCACGTTTACTTAAACGTTTCCTGAGTTAAAATATTAGTTAGTTAGTTGGGTTATCATCATTGCACTCCGGACATATCCATAGGTGCTCGGATCCTCCCCTCAGTATGAACCCCAACGCCCGATGGCTAATAGTACCAGTTCTATTTTGATTAACAAGTCTTTGGCGTGCCTGGTGTGCGTCTCGTTTTTTGCTATGCCGGCCTTAATTCCCAAGTCTGCCATTCTGACGAGTGATGTGTTGAAATACACTTGACTGAATTTGGGCAATAATGTCACGGAGAAAGGATAAAGATAATTATACATTGCAGACCACCTATGGCAATATCTTAGATTTCTTATGTGAAGAATAATTTGTTGACTGCCCGCAAATTTTCATGCACAAACTCTTTTTTTGAATAAGATGATTTTTGATTAGCAGAACTATTTCTTGGATCCCCGGTGAGTTCTCCTTATCAGGTCTCAAAGTCTTTGAGCAAACAGTAATTCAATCCCCCTTGGTGAAACCCCGTTTAAGTTGGTGGGTTTGTACATCTGTCTAGACCTAAATTTGTTTGTTATGTTTATATCTCCATCTGTTTTCCCTCTTCGCTGCTGAGTTGTCTCTTCAGTTTAGGTGCTGTTTTTTTTTTTTTTTTAATATACCATTGATATCAGAGTATTATATAATGTCATTTGTATTGATACCATGCAGTATTAAAACTGGTGTTTTGTGTACATAGTCTGGAATATTATATACCTTTATTTTATTATCATCATCATAAATCCAGTTTTATACAAGTTGCATTAGCGTCATAGTCTGTTCTCTTTGAAGATTTTCCCCTCTGACAAGCATGTCTACAAGGCATCTAGGTTTTTGCTGAAATCAGATGTTTTGGGTCCAACAGCACTGATATCACAGCCTAGCTGTGAACCACAACACAGAATGTTAAATACCCTTTCAAGGGCAAACCCAGAAGAACTTGGACCACTGTCTTGGTAAGTTAGAGCACTAACCCTTGTGCCAACTTTCAGAACAGCAATATCTTTTTCTCTTAACAGTCTGTATATATGCTTCTGTTTTTAGTCAGTCACTGTCAATATAAAATAAAAGGTCTGTTTTCTGTATCCATAGCGTAGGGCTATAGCTCTCCATCTTTATAGACCAAAGGTAATGTTGCCAGATTTGGTAAAATGAAAATAACAACTCGTTGTTTGTTAACAGTAGAAGTCTGTAAACTAGAGCTATATTAAACATTTGCTTTGGGGCCGAAAGTGGACTTAATAACTATTCGGTATTCGGCCGAGCCGAATACGAATATTGGTTACCTTAAACCCGCTTCTGCATACACGGCCTCTGCTGACAACATGGAACGATTGGTTTTGTTGAAAGCTAATGAAGCTTTCATACATTAACTAAGCTGTCAGTGACAATTTCCAAGTTTAGTTACTTGTTAAAATACTTAAATTCTTTCATTCCTAGTTATTAGTTACCACAGACTGACTGAAGGATGCAAAACATAAAATGTTTTTAAATGGTTACTAATCTGTACGAATACTAACTAGAATATAAACTCCGGCCACATCCAAGTTAATAATATGAAAATCAAATAAACAGAAACATATCAGTACTTGGGTGCAAACTTCAACTGCTCCGATATGCTGAGAAGAAATGCAATCAAGAATACAATCTGGAAATAAAGTATACTATGCCCTTCGTCTGCTAAAGTCAAAGTGTCTGTCTCGCAACACCAAGATCAAAATATGTAAAACGTTGATAAGACCAGTCGTTTTATATGGCTCTGAAACTTGGAGCACAACTAAAAGAGATGAAGCCTTATTACAGGTTTTCAAAAACAGAGTCTTACGACAAATCTTTGGACCCATTAAAGATACAAATAGCGCTGAATGGAGAGTGAGAAGCAACAATGAAATGCATTGTCTGTTTAAATCATCATTGATCACTGGCATCATGAGAGCTAATAGACTAAAATGGTTGGGGCATATTGAAAGAGTGTCAGAAGTAAAAACTGTATACACATGGGAGCTGAATGGTCGTAGGCCAAGAAGAGAGATAATGTCTAGACAGACCAGCAGACAATTGGTGTCACCAACTGAACAGAGAAGGCCAACCAGAGAGATGAATGGAGGTGGTTGATATCTGCAGCAGTGAACCTCAAGGGCTCGGAATGCTGGAGAAGAAAAAAAAGACTAGACTGTACTACATTTTGTGAAGTAAAAGTTCAGCGTACATTTGACATTCATCATCATGTAGCAGGTCCTTTGCAGAACATCGCTCTCATCATGGTCTGCCTGAAAGAAACTTGGTCTCTCACCAGTTCTTCCGCCTCATGCACTTTCATACTCAAGAAGTCACTTATATCCCGTGCCCATCTTCGTGTTAGTCGGCCCATGCCCCTCCTTCCTTGTACCATGCCTTCTGCTAAAAAATTTTTTTTATCCATTGTGACCAAAATATTTCAGCTTCTGAGACAGGATGCTGTTTATTAGCCAATCTTCCTTGATGTTCGGATCTTTCAAGATGTCAGTATTTTTCCTCTTTTTTGCCTAAGATATTCTGAGAATCTTTCTATAGCATTTCAGCTCAAAAGCCCCTATTCTCTTTCTTAAGGACTGGGAGATAGTCCCTGACTCACATCCGTTTGTTGTTACACGGAAGATGCATGCTCTCATTTGACATTATGAATGTTTTTTAGATTTGTTTTATACTCTATACACTGTTCGTATTCGGCCGATAGCTGGTTCTGTTATTCGTATTCGACCGAATAATGAAAATCATCTATTCGGTACAGCTTTATTGTAAATCACACCCATCACTGAGTACTGATTGGTCTATAAAACACAGGCCTAGCCTTAAATTTCCAATGGTCTGAAGGCGTACTTTTGTTTACTGATAGGCTTTAAAATGCACAAAATCAACATACAAAATGTACACCTTAGGAACATAATTTTGGCCCCCAAAAAACCGGAGGGAATCCAGCTAAAACAGAGTATCTGGCAACCCTAACTGGCACTTGATGGGTGATGTTGTCAGAATCTCATTGGCTACCTTTCCTGCCTAGCACATTTCTTAGATGCTCGGAAGGTTGTGGGTTTAAATCCTGCTGGAGCCAGACTTTTTTTTTTAAAATAACCTTGGCTCTAAGGTCAACACAGCCTTAAATGGGTACCAGGTACAGTCCTGGAAAGTAAAGGCGATTGACATGATATTCACCACATCACCCATTGAATGGTCTATAACATATAGGCCTAGCTCTATATAACCAAAATACCTGAAGGCGTAGAAAAGGGTATTTTACCTGATTAAAAAAAAAAAATTTTGAATCCTTTTAAAAAAAAAAAAACCATTTCCTGGCACTCATTATGGGCTCGCTTTAAAAAAATCTGCCTCAGTGGGGATTCTAACCCATGATTCTCTGTGTTTATAAATATATATATGTAAACAAGTTCTGGAACGAGATTAAAGTCTAAAAGTGGACAAACAACCAGAACTTTCCTCCAGAGTTTATGGCTGGTGAAAGCTAAGAAGAAGAAATTCCTACTCCGGACAGATCAAAATGAGGTTTTAATTTTCATGCAGCTACATAATTTTCGCCAGATCTAAATGTCCAGATTTAGCATTTAAATGACTGGTATAGTATCAACAATCTGACATGTTACATGGCAACATTGAAAGTTAAGAACAGCTAGTCATACAAGATGTGCTGTTTGGGATAGCTGGCAAAATGATGTCATAATAAAAGGTTGTATACCATCTGAAACTGAGTCCTACGTTCAAGTTTAAAATTTAAAAAATGTGGACACAAACAATACATTGGACAATTTATTGCTTCCTTCGAAGTCAGAGAGCATCTGCCTGAGAGGCTAGGAACTAACAGTCTGCACACAAATGTGTCAGATCTGTCAAACAGATGCACAAGCAACACCCAGGTTCTGAAACAGGACTGCAGTCCAGAAGAGGGTAAACAACCAGAACGTTCCCTCTATTTCACTGTATCTCATCAGGTACGTTACTATAGAGTTAAATCAACGTATAATGATGCACAAAATGAATCCTTTAATTTTTCATCCTTGCATTTCAGCAAGAAGAGGATTCCTTTTGTGCATCATTATATGTTGATTTAACTATGTAGTAATACACCTCACGAGATACAGCGTTTGTCTGCATTATTTAAATTTACAACTGGGAAAACGTTTTGAAATATTTAAAAGATTTTAAAATGTGCCATTTGCAAGGGTGGTTGGTTGCATCCACCAGCATCTTTGGGAATATTCAGCATGCATACAATAGTTGGAGTTAGACTTGCTTGGTAGATTTTCACCCATGGATTTTAGGGATTTCCCTGTCAACAGACACCTAGTGCCAGCAGTAACCCTTTGGCCTTGAGAAGCATCTAATCTAGAATCACCATCTGCTGCTCATTCACAAGAAACCCCTACACCGGCCTTGCTGGACTGACCAGGTCGGAACAAGCAATGGTGCTGCTGCATCTGCACAGTGGTTAGGAGCCCCGGATATAATTGTATTCAGTTGTAAAAAAAAAAATATTAGGTAGGGAAGGAGGGGCATTTATTATGGTGGGGAAAGACTTTTTAAAGCTGTAAGGATGTAGTAAATTCCCTTTAGCAGGAAAAGACATTTATTCTCTGCTCTGTTCATTGTTGTTGTTATTGATCCAGCGGCGCATGAGCTTTCACCCTTTGGCCCAATGCCATGTGGTGGAATTTACATGTTTTCACAAGCTGTTCTTTTCCTCTGTACAAGGTGTTCCACCTGTCTGGTCTCGGAGGGAGTAGCATTCTTCTAGTCTCGTTGAGTTTTGGGCACTCAAAGAGATGATGGACAACAGTTTTGTAGGGGTAGTTACATAGCTGGCACTCTGTAGGGAGTGTTGTGGCTGTATTCTGTTTAGGTGTCCATTGAGTGGAGTATGTTGTGTTCTGAGTCTGAAGATGGTGGCCTGGTCCCTTCTTGATAAATCTCTCTGCTCTGTTCATGTTTATTGCTCACTTCCCTTAACCTTTCCTATATGTTGCAAAAATGTATTAGTGAGTTTTTTTCTTTCTAAAAAGGATTTTTCATGTTTGTGGGTTTTTCTTTGAAGGGTTACTATGTGTACTAACTGATTTCTTTGGTACTATGTGGTGGAGGCCTGAGTCTTTCTTGGTAAGACTTACACAACTGTTTGAAAGCTACGAGAGCAGCTTTAAAAAGAAAATCGTCTCTTGCCAACATTTACCCTAGTACTTGAGAATTTTGAAACTGTTAAATGTAGTCACTAACCACAGTGACGCATGAAGGTAAATACAAAAGCAGAGTAAATAAAATTTAAAAAACATTTTATTGGGAAAACAAAAAGACAGCAGTTGACAAACATCATGTGTAGTCAACACTGCAGATGTCGACAGTGCAGTGGGTGAGAATAAAGTGAAAAAAAATAGATACCTGCTAAATACAAGATTTCATTTATTTTAAATAAGCATTCACTGTTTGATCATTGCTGTGTCGAAATGATTGCATCCATCATGTGTAGTGAATATTTGAACATAAGCAGAACAGATGACAAACACTGGGTGTAGTCAGTACTAGAGATTTAGACAGTACAAGTGTGGGAGAGCGATGAAGTAAGAGAAATTAAACACCTGCTAAATACATAAGTTTTATTTATTTTACAAAAGCATTCACTGTTTGGTCATTGCCCTAGAAATAGAAAGACAAGCAGTAAAGACAGACAACTTTTTTCTGTGTGCTCTTCTGTTCATTATAGCTTTAACATCATAATCATTGCCAGTGGGTGCAGGGGAAGTATTTTGTTCTCAACAGAGTATAATGGAATTGCAGCTTGCTCGGGTGGTCAACATGATGTGCACACACATCCTACGATGTCTCAGGCAGATATTGCCACACAGTTATGTTAATATTTAAAAAAAAAAAAAATTTGTTTTTCATCTTTCAGTGAAGCAGAGGCCTCATCAACTCACAAATTTAAGGGATCCACATCAGCTGGAAAAAAAAACAGACCCTGAGGTTTAGAATGCAAGCCTTTGTCATGATTCTAATATTTACCCATTATAATAAATTCTATTAAAAAATGCGGGGTCCATAGAAAACATTAGAAAATAGAAGGGGGTCTGGAGGTTTCTATAATTTGGTATCCCTGTGTCTAAGGGTTGAGGTGGTCAGTCTTTTACCAACCCTCCTTAATCACCTATTTCCGGGGACTTCCGGTTAAAATGGACGCTAGGCAGCGGCACTGTTCGAAGCAGAGGCAAATTTTTGCTTCTGTCGGACGGTGGCCGATGCATTTTTGCTCCATTTGTAGACTGGATATAGTTTCGTCGCCCAGCTTCTGAGTTGAATGCATGGCGTGACACTGTGTGCTGCAGATTGCATTTGGAATGTGTTTTCGACTGACCATCGTAGTGGTGTGAATTGTAGATTCAGAAAATGGCGCGATGCCTGTCGTGCAATGTTGGCGGTGCCCGTATGTGATTAAAATTGATCGCGTGGGCAACTGCTGATCTGTTGGCGACAAGTTCTGCTATCACCAATGCTGAACTGCATTTCTAATGTTGGATTGTTTGTGTTAGCACTTCGGATGGCTACCGTATGCTTTAATGCGAGTGTATGCTAGATATGCTGAGATATCAGTCTGTCAATCTTTCCACAAGGGACTGTGATAAACATTCTGTGTGTTTTTCGTTGGCACAGGAGCGGAGCAACTATGGGGTGACCCGTTTGCTATGAAGCTGAAACTAAGATTACCAGATAACCAGATTACCAATCACCTATTAGGACACATGGTAAAATCTCATTAACACAAACTTGCCTAAAAAGAAAACATTTTTTTCAAAATCCCAGCAGGGATCAGTTTTTAACATTATCCCCAGGTTGTTAACACGAACCCGATTTTTGGTCCTTTGGAATTCGTGGTAACGAGGTTTTATTTATGTTACTATGCTTTGCATTCCTTATGGGTCCCATTATCGCATAGGCAAAATTATGTACTATAATTAGTTGGGGTATCATCATTGCACTCCGGACATGTCCATAGGTGCTCAGATCTTCCCCCTAGTATGTACCCGAGTCCAGTGGCTAATAGTACCAGGTATGTTGATTAACAAGTCATCTGATGTATATATATCTCATTCTTTGCTATGCCAATCTTAGCTGCCAAGTCTATTATTCTGGCCAGTGAAGTGAATTTGCTGTCCTCCATCCTTTCCATTTCTCGCAGGGCATTAATAATATCAGCACAGTCCATAAGCTGACTGTCAGTAGTGATAGTGGATCCAGCCAACCTATTAGCTCTTTTGTTTCCATCAATGCCCGCGTATCCCAGAACAAAAATAAAGGTGAATGCATGCACAGTGGACTTCTGTAATGACTCAAGCCACTGCCTTCGCACTAAACCTGCCGGAACCTTCCGGATAATAATACTATATGCACTTATTTTGTTGTTGAATGAAGCAGCAATAACAAGGAATGACAAAGCAGTGTTCTATGTTATCAGATCCTATAGTACAACAAAAGTATCATATATAAGTAGTTATCGCATGATTCACAGAACAATTTACCTACCACAGAATACATTAGGGAAAACAACAATGAAGTAATGGAAACTGGCAGGTTTCCCAGGCAACACATATTCAACAGCAGCAACATAGTTATGGCATGATTATAAAACAACATATTTACAAAACAGAGAGAAAGGTAATGTACACAGACTAGCACTAAAGCATGAGGTTATGCAAGAACATGAGATGAAAAACAATGCTGGAGAAAAAAGAGCTATGGAGATGCAAATCAGAGAGAGAAAGAGCAGACAAACAGAAAGACAGGCACACAAAGAGAAGTTGGGGAAATAACACGAACAGACTAGGATGAAGTCATTTAAAGATGCAAGCAAATGAGCGTAAACAGTGCTTGAAAAAAAAGAAGTTAGAGAGATGCAAGACAGAGAGGGAGACAGAAACAAAGATAAAGAGAGTCAGACAGAGAGAGAAAAACAAAGTCAGAGAAACAGACCATACAGGCAGAGAAAATGAATGAAGAGACTAACATGAAGTCAGAGAATGCCAGACATAAGTTAAAACAGCACTGGCAAAATGGAGTTATTAAGCAGGCTATCATAAATTCACAAAACGATTCCAGCATATGAGCTGAACAGGTGTTGAAGAAGGGAACTAGGAAGAGGCATAGTCACCCATGCCAGTTGAAAAGGCACTTGACGATGGCGATTATGGGTTTAACACTGTAACTCTACTTATGTAATATATCAAATAACAAATATGTAACAATGGAAAATAATGCCAGTTAAAAAGGCACTTAACGATGGCGATTATGGGTTTAACACGGTAACTCTACTTATGTAATATATCAAATAACAAATATGTAACAATGGAAAATAGTTTCTACATCAGCAGGTTCCACAGTACAATGAGTAATCATGGCAACACATTTACTGCATGCCGTTAAATCAATATACAATGAGACTATTCATCCAGCAGCCTGCGAAACAAATGTGGCCCGCGAATCATTGCCAACTGTATCGTATTAATGATCTTTCTATGCGGGGGCTCGGGCCCTAGAGGATTGCCATCAACATTTTGGCCCGTGAGTAAACACAGCTGACCATCCCTGATGTACAGTCTGTCAAAGACATTACATTCAGACTTCACAAAAATAACAATTGCTATACTAGATTTGATGACATCTTAAAAGATCTGAACATCAAGGAAGACTGGCTAATAAACAGCATCCTTTCTCGAAAGCTGAAATATTTTGGTCATATCAAGCGCCACGAGGGATTGGAAAAAATAATAGCAGAAGGCATGGTGCCAGGAAGGAGGGGCAGGGGTCGACTGACGCGAAGATGGGCACAGGATATAAGTGACTCCTTGAGTGTGAAAGTTCATGAGGCGGGAGAACTGGCAAGAGACAGAGTTTCGTTTAGGCAGACTATGATGAGAGCAACGTTCTGCAAAGGACCTGCTACATGATGATGATGATACTAGATTTATACAGACTTGGGGGGGGGGGGGGGGGGGTGTATGTGTGTGTGCGTGCGTGACAATTACAGAGTAGTTATCGATAGTATCAAGTCATTTTTTTTATTACAAAGAACTGAGCAAACTGGCTGGTGGGAATCGCTGCACAGGTTTTATGCGTCAATTCATGAGAGTAACAACATAACTCTTAAATAATTACCAAGGATCACATTGATTTCTAACTGTCTTCTTGTACCGAAAGAGTTAAGGAAGAATATAATGCTACATAATATTGTAATTTTGATCTTGCTGGTTGGCTTTGTATTCATCATACAAACTGGTTGAATTAAAGAAAAATGGTATCTTATCCACAGTGAAGGTTGGAAACGTTCGCACATGTCAGCAGGCAGCAGCCCATTCAGGTCTGATTCTCCGATGTTTGCTCTTAGACGGGGTCAGGAGTGGCAACGTACAGTTGAAGCTTCTCAGTGCGGCCATCTTGGCTTGCATCACTTGACGGTTTCGATTCATCCGATGTTTGCGAAGGGACAGAGCATGGATGCTCTGTAATCGATCAACAATGAGTGGATTCTTCAAAATTACCTGATGCAAAAAAGAGTGGGAAAACCCCAGAATATTAGCTGCTGTGTCAGTACCGGAAATTAGAACAATGGCAAAATATAACATTCACAAACTTTTGTCTCCAGAATTAACTACAACAGAGACTTCGGGTTGTCATCTGTGGTTTAAGAATTATAAACAGTTACATAATTCCAATATATTAAATACAATTCAGCTGCAGGCAATTCTGCCGCAGATTGTTTTACCCTAATTTCCACACTGGTATGAGCGCCGACCATTCTTTTTTTTTTCCTTTCTTTGTTCACCAGCTGTAAGCTGTGGTGGAAAGTCCTGGTTGTTCGTTCATTTGGACTTCGGTTTTGTGCCAGGGCCGGAGTTTTGCGTGTATATCCGTTTTACATGGCTTATTTGTGTGCAGCGCGTTGTTCCTTGCCACTTGGGCAGTTGCACTTCGACGTAAGTCCCCAGTTAGTCAATTCTTACGACATGCTTGTTGGGGAGGCAGTGATCTATTCTTCTTGTCCCTCCCCACAGTGGGGGCCAGGAACCCACACGGAAAGAGCCCCGTCCATTCAGATAGCCAATGGTAAACTACAGAACATAACATTGTTTAGTAAACCCATAAACAGCCAAAAAATGCTGGGGTTCTGTTTGCAATGAAACAGGATATGCAACTAACCATTTTTGTTTTGTTTTAAAGGGACTTCGGAATAAGATAGAAAACTGGCTATACAAATTTAGGTTTCTATGTGGGTTACAGGGCCCAACTGTGGAGAGAAAGGGGGAAGAGGCAGACCACCTTTCACCTCTAACAAGCATGTTGCAGGAGGAGACTAATTAGGGGTGCTTCTTTTGAAGTCAAGAGTGCATCTGCTTGAGAGTCAAGGAACCAACAGTTTGCATAGAAATATGCCAGATCTGTAAAACCGATATGCATGAAAAACCCAAGTTCTGAAACAAGACCAGAGTTCTTATACAAGACCAAAGTCCAGAAGTGGTTGAACAACCAGAACTTTCTGCTAGAGTTTACTGGAACAGTGCGATAAAGATAGTTCTGGAACCAAACAAGACTCCATAATTTAAACAAAGTGTGGCAAACAAAAGAATTTGTTTTTTAAAACAAAGTCGCTAACGACAAATTGCACAGTTTACTGCCTGATATTTGTTCTCGTCAGGTGATACTTCAGTAACATTAAAAAAAAAAAAAAACAATTTTAAGCAAATCTTTTCAAATGAAAGACAAAACCATCTACTCTCAGAATTACCTGCCCATTAACCAGGACAAATAGAGGTTTACCATGTCTCTTTTTTTTTTAAGTACAGATTGGGACTGAAGTAATTGATTGTGATGGCTTCAATTTATGCACATTAATCAGTTTACACTGGTTTAATTTTTTTTATTAACCAGTTCACTCCAGGAATGCTATTAAAAAAAATGGGTCATATCTGTGGGAATCACTAGACAAAAATCCTTAACAAAACAAGCTTTGTAAATAGGTCACTTATAATTCTTTTAATACTGATTTATCTACATTTACAATTTTATCTTGGGGTGAAATATGTAAAGGGGATAATCAATAAACATGAACAGAGTGAACAATTAAATGGAATACATTCTCTCCTGGGTTAAAAAAAAAAACTGTTTGGGTCATAAGGAAATTCCCTAAGTGTTTATTTTTAGTTAATATATTCAAATCAGGGCCTCCCCTAAACAAAACCAGTGGAATTTACGCTTTCTGAGAATACACTGCAGAAATGGTGATATGTCTGCATTTATGGGACTGTCACATCATTGCTTAGTGCAGATTGGCAGGCATTGCTTCAGAGGACCCAGGTAGTTAGCGTTCTTTGGATATTTTATCAAGGTAATGCCTGTGTCATCAGACGCAGGAAATCTTGCTCAGGATAGGAAGGTTTTCCTGACTGGCACCATCGGAATTAGAACTCGTCATTTGCTGCTAAAGATGGCAATGATGCACTGATCTGGCTGTCCCGAGTGCTCTGATGTTGATTCCTAATCCAACGTTTTGTCACAACGGGAACTAACTAGATTTGGTCTGCTCAGAGCAATAGTTTTGAATGCACATGTGATAATCTTACCGCTCTCCTGCCTGGGTGCAGGCCCAGAATGCCAAGCAGCATACAGCAGTAATTGAAAATGGCTCCTTTCTCCCTGTAAATGTGCAGCAGTTCTACTATGGTAGTCACACTGTCTTCTGGCTCCAGGACAGCCGAAATCGTTTTCTCATACTGTGGAAGCAAAAGTCGCAAAATCAATCCACAATCAGTGATTTTTATTGATTACTACCAGATCAATCCACAATTGGGGATTTATATTTATCATTACTAAATCAATCCACAGTAAGTGATATTATACCTATCACTACAAATCAATCCACAGTTAGTGATTTATACTGGTCATACAATGTCCCGATTGTTTTTTCACCTGCTGTGGAAGCAGAAGTCACAAGATCAATCCACTATTAGTGATTTATATTGATCACTACCACTGAAAATTACTTTATACAAAGCTAACAGAAGGGCCCGTTACAGAGATCTCTTCTTGCCCTGCCACGAGGCATTCCAGGAGTAGAGAAGAAAGAAGACTAACAAATCAATCCACAGTTAGTTTTTATACTAGTCACTACAGGGTCAAAAACAAATTTTGATTTGTATTGGTCACTACTAGAACAATCTACAATTAGTAATTTATTGCTCACAACCAGATCAATCCACAATTAGTAATTTATACTGGTCACCATGTGTATTATTCACTGCTAGATCAATCCACAATTAGTAATTTATACTGGTCACAACCAGATCAATCCACAATTAGTAATTTATTGCTCACAACCAGATCAATCCACAATTAGTAATTTATTGCTCACAACCAGATCAATCCACAATTAGTAATTTATACTAGTCACCATGTGTATTATTCACTGCTAGATCAATTCACAATTAGTAATTTATTGCTCACAACCAGATCAATTCACAATTAGTAATTTATACTGGTCACCATGTGTATTATTCACTGCTAGATCAATCCACAATTAGTAATTTATACTGGTCACAACCAGATCAATTCACAATTAGTAATTTATTGCTCACAACCAGATCAATCCACAATTAGTAATTTATACTGGTCACCATGTGTATTATTCACTGCTAGATCAATCCACAATTAGTAATTTATACTGGTCACAACCAGATCAATTCACAATTAGTAATTTATTGCTCACAACCAGATCAATCCACAATTAGTAATTTATTGCTCACAACCAGATCAATCCACAATTAGTAATTTATACTAGTCACCATGTGTATTATTCACTGCTAGATCAATTCACAATTAGTAATTTATTGCTCACAACCAGATCAATTCACAATTAGTAATTTATACTGGTCACCATGTGTATTATTCACTGCTAGATCAATTCACAATTAGTAATTTATTGCTCACAACCAGACCAATCCACAATTAGTGATTTATACTAGTCACCATGTGTATTATTTACTGCTAGATCAATCCACTATTTGTGAATTTTCCTGGTCACTTAATGGTTTTTCTCCTTCCTAGGAAGCAGAAGTCATAAGATTAATCCACAATTAGTGATTTATATTAACCACTACCAGATCAATCCAGAATTAGCGATTTATAAAAACAACTAAACAAGAGAAAGGTAATCATGTGGTAAATAGTGTTCAGGTCTGAAGGGTTACAAACTGAGGCTATTGAATAATGAAGTCAGGCATTAATTTCCATTCATCTCAATCTTTTATTGCAGGTAAACTACACAAATACCCATTGGGAAAAAAAACCACTTTTAGAAATAATGAATGAATGTATGTGTATATGTATGTACATATGTATGAACGTTGCCTTCAAATGTTACATTATTTTCTGATAAGCTATTGGTTTAAAATTTTGCATAAATATGCTTTATGGATGACACTACAACATGGTGCAAAAAAAACACCCAAAAAAACAGCACTTAAATGCACACAAGACCGTGGGACGTGAACATACATGACGACGATCAGTATATAGTAATGATGCTAAGGAGAGCCATATCCAAGGAAAAAGGAAATCAAACTCAGTTTATACAAATAAAAGTCAGTCAGCACACAGAACAAAAGCTTTAACCAAGGTAGATAGCACCAATACAACAATACATTAAAAACTGTTGCAGAACATAGCTAATGGTTTGAGGTTTGAACAAAAGACCAACATCATGGCACAATGGTAGAAACACATAAGTGCTCCGATCTTCTTCTAACTCAAGTCTTAGTCAGAAGAAGCTCAGCACAGTGCAAGGCTCTGTGGTACCGGCGAGGATCCTGAAATACTCTGGGTAGATTTTTAACTAATTTTGTCCGAGCAGTGCTGTTGGGCTACTCTTTTTGATTTCCAACTGCCAAGGGATTTTTTTTACAGGTGCAACAATGCACATGAGCGTCCAATTTCAGTACCCAGAGACCAGGGGCAATTACTAGAAGTCTAAGTCCACATGAAAAAAATCCCAGCCCTTACCGGGGATTGAACTTGGAACCTCAAGCACTTGAGGCGGACACCATGCCTCGAGACCACACAGCCCCCCCCACCCCACATACATGGCTAATGAGGCGATAATTTGCTCAGTGTGAAGGAAAACATTAGCTATATAGTTTTTACACTGAGTCTATTATTGCCGACTAAAGCATCAGCCTTCAACCAACTCACACCAAGCCACTGTATCATGTTCAAACACCTCAATCTCTGACTAGGCATGTTGTCCCTGCATCTTACCTTTTTGAAAAGCTTCCTAATTTCATTCTGTGTTTATATGAACTTTCATCAATTTACAGGAGTTTTTCATGTCATATCTAAAGTTTTCAGTAGAATACCACACTTTTATAAAAGTTTTTAACTGTAACTGTTTTCAATAGTAAAATTAAAGTGTCTTTAAGTTTCCCTCTCTACAGTTTTCAGCTAGATAATATACTCTCTTGATTGGCTGTAACAGTCATTATTTTAAATAGAAAAACAATAAAGTGACTCCAGGCATCACTCTGTAAAATATTCAACAGTATACAATACTTCTGAACGTTTTTTTTTTTTTTAAATGGAAAAAACAATAAAGCATTTTTAGCCATCACCCTCTACAATTTTCAACATGATACCATTATTTTTAATGTTTTTAGCTATCAATGTTTTTGAAAAAAAAAAAAAAAAAGATTATTAAGAATAAAAATTATCAAATAAGTCATTTCTGATACCAAAAAAAAAAAAAAACTACAATTTCTTACCTTAGCCAGGTTCAGTAGGATGCTGACAGAGTATTTGATCAACTCCATGTGGGGGACACTGCGGTTACAACTGCCAATCAACCGGTACAACCCTGGAACTGCATTCACCTCCACCAGTCTCTCACAACATATCGGTGACAGCCGTGTGCATACCTCTGCCAAATTAGAAATGATAGGTCAGTCTGATTTAATGTGGAAAACATGTAGTTCTAATATCAGATAATTACTGCTGCATGGAGTTGAAACACGGAGAACAAAACATAATAAACTGCACTGCAAACATTCATTAACTGGTGCCTGCGCAGAAGAGAGGAAATTAACTTGTACGATAGATGCACTAATGTAGAGCTTTGGGAGAGAACTAAACTAGTGTGTCAGGAGGTGAAGAAAAGATGCTGGTGATGGATAGGGCACACATTGAAAAAGTCTGAGAATAATAATGTCTAACCCAATGAGGCAATGACATAAAAGCAGATACACACACACAAAAAAGATAGAGAAGGGAGCTAGCGAGTGAAGTTAAAAAAGATGGAAGACATGGGATGAGCTACATGCAATAGCAATGGATATGACTACTTGGCGTGAGTTGTTTGAGGGCCTGTGCTCTGTCAGGAGGAAAATGACTGCAATATCTGTGCCTTTTGGCTGACACATCCCCATGTCTTTAGGCACTTGTTACTCACGATAGCCTTCGTGGTTAGCTTCATGGGACACTGCACAGCCTTATTGTTGTGCGGTCACCTATAAAGAAATTAGTTCTATAAGGAAATTACAAGGAGTTCTATAAAGAAATAACAAGGAGCTCTAAAAAGAAATAACAAGGAGTTATATAAATAAATAACAAAGAGCTCTATACAAAAAAAAAACAAGGTGTTCTATAAAGAAATAACAAGGAGTTCTATAAAGAAATAATAAAGAGCTCTATAAAAAAAATAACAAGAAGTTCTATAAAGAAATAACAAGGAGTTCTATAAAGAAATAACAAGAAGTTCTATAAAGAAATAACAAAAAGTTCTATAAAGAAATAATAAAGAGCTCTATAAAAAAAATAACAAGAAGTTCTATAAAGAAATAACAAGGAGCTCTAAAAAGAAATAACAAGGAGTTCTATACAAAAGTAACAAGGAGTTCTATACAGACATAACAAGGAGTTCTATACAGAAATAACAAGGAGTTATAAGGAATAACAAAGAGCTCAATAAAGAAATCAGCTCTATAAAAAAAAATTCTATTAAACAAAAAATAACAAGGAGCTCTAAAAAAAATGTCAAGGAGTTCTATAAACAAAATAATAAGGAACTCTATAAAGAAATAACAAAGAGCTCTATAAAAAAAATAACAAAGAGCTCTGTAAAGAAATAACGAGCTCTACAGACAAATAATAAGGAGCTCTGTAATAAAAACAGGAGCTTTATAGAGAAATAACAAGCAGCCCAATAAAGAAAAGATTCTGCAGGGAACAGAAACGTGTCATTACCAACATATAATTCTCCCACAAACATTTAAACATGCACACACAAAATGTGAACCTTCAAAGAATGATTAATCCATCAACTATGCCACAGAAGGGGGAAAGTTCACTGAAGTTTGTGGGAGATGCCAGAGTCATGAGAGGACCAGAGAATGGTAGTGATCCCTATCTGGTCACAATAAAGAGAACCAGTGAAACGGCTCCAACAATTACGCACCGACAACCATGCAAGAAACAACCACGTAAGAAACAACCATGCAAGAAACCAACCAACGGGGTGATTTCGTGGAAAGTAAAGGTGATATAATGTTGACCACACACCCACACAAAATGCTGACTGGTATACAAAAATTATGAGTCTGGCAGCAGATGGCAGATCAAACATTGATGTAGTTCTTTACTTGCTGAAAGACCCCATGTGGGTTCCAGGTCCCCATTGTCGGGGAAAACAAGAACAATCCCACTGCCTACCCCACAAGCATGTCGAAAGAGTCGACTAATTGGGAGCTTCCTTCGAAGTCGGAGTACATTTGCATGTGCCTGCAAATGAGTCATACCTGTGAAAGGGATGTGCACGATACACTCAGTTTCTGGAAAACGACCAGAGTCCAGAAGTGGATGAACAACCAGAACCTTTTACCGGAGTTTACAGATGGGAACACGAAGAAGAATTACTGAAATCTATACCCCCCCCCCCCCCCCCCCCTCAATTATAGGGCAGTTAATCTGACACAATTTTCCTACCCAAGTGCATGAGAGCTTCAAGAATGTGGCCGACATCTTTCTCTTGCAGGAGAAAATCTAGGGCTGAAGCAGTTCGAGAACCGAGTGTCCTCTCTTCCGTTGCCTGTCTGTTTGCTTCCTTGAGCCTTTTCCTGGCCCGGGTTAGCTTCCTGTCTTTTGTGTTCTTGCGGGTGATAAACCCCCTCCACTTTGCCTGTAACATAGGAAATGTAGCCATGTAGTATTTATGTATATTGTTGATTCACTTTGTGATTGTTTATATGTTATACAATGGGAGTCGGCCTGTTGCTTTTCCTGTACCTATCGTGCCCTGCCAGTAAGCCAATTGTCATGTGAAGTAATGAAAAACAGCTCAGGTTAGGAGCAAGCTGCAACCAAGCAGCCCATCTGAACTACTACAGCTCTCTCTCACCTCAAGCACTTTCCTACCCATCTTAGTGTTGCTCACCCCAGGCCCTTCATTCCTGGTACCCAGCTCTCCGCTACTGTTCTTTCCAAACCACTGTGGTGCTTTATATGGCTAAAATATTTCAGTTTCTACAAAAATACATTTCAAAGTCAACTTTCCTTAAAATTAAGATCTAGGATGTCATCATTTCTTTTCTTCTTGGGTCATGAGATTCTGAGAATCTTTCTTTAGCATTTCAGCTCAAAATCCTGTTTTCTTCCATAATGATGCCATGTTTAACAGATGAGATGGTGGCAAAAGAACTATGTTGCTGTTTGTTATTCTTAGCAACTTGCACAGTGTCATGAGACAGCTTCTTTTCATGGAATGCAGTTGTCAGGGTGCATGAGATCAATTTTTAAAAAAAAAAATGTCCACACTAACCATTCTGAACTGACAGTTTACTGTGTAATTATAAACATTTGTTAAAAAAATAAATAAATAAATAAATAAATAAATAAAAGGAAAGCTCATTGCTAAAAATACCTGGATCATAATGGCTGCTCCATTCTCTTTCTTCTGTTTCCACATTGACTGAATGTTTTCTTGCAGCAGTGTCTGTGAGAAATAAAAAAGCGACTTTTTAAATATGACTTTAAATGTGTTATGTGGTATATATACATGGTCTTCTGGACTTAGGACCGAGTTCCATTCCGTTCTGACTAACAGGCTGTAAATTGTGAACTGGCCGTAAGTCGAGCAGATATTTTTTCAACACTATTTTCATTCAAACAGGTTATACAAATTGTACATAAAACACACAAATGCAATCTGTGTACCTATAATTATTGTATAAAATATGACCTCTCTTGCATCAGTTCCGTGTACTTTTTCACTCTACTAATGTACTTTTCTTGCTTCATTTTATATTTTGGGGGAATTAAGAGGGGGGGGGGGGGGGCACATGACTGCGGATGGTTTCAAGTCACATAAGTTGTAAGTCGAGACAAAGGTATATACATAAATACATATATATCGTGATGTATGGCAAAGAATGATGGATGGCAAGCACATCAGTCAGAAATTATGTGGAAGTGATGTATGGCAGAGAATGATGGATGGCCAGCACATCAGTCAGAAATTATGTGGAAGTGATGTATGGCAGAGAATGATGGATGGCCAGCACATCAGTCAGAAATTATGTGAAAGCTGACAGAGATTAAAGGCATAGTTTGAAAAAAAAAAAATTTTTTTTAAATATTGTAAAATACATTAACAGAGACTGGTCAGATACATCAGAAAGAAATGACGAATGGCTGCCCTAACCTTCATCTTTGTGCCAGGTCATGTGGGTGTTGAAGGGAATGAGCACGCAGATTATCTTACAGGCACTGCAGTTGCTATGGCTGGCCCGGTACTGGACAGAAGTGATGTTATCTTGCCAAAAGGGGCATGACTCCATACACCCGTCTAGGCTGATGACCATGGTGAGTGCAACACTAATGATCAACACAGAACTGGCGCCATCGGTCATTTATACTTATAGAGCTTTTGAGGAGGAGATCAGAGCACCTATGGATCTGTCTGTCCAAGTACTGTAATGATAATCTTTACTAATCACTAATCAGAAAGAATATTTTGTCTGGGAGCATCATGAGAAGGGTGAGTGGAAACTTCAGGAAAGCTGGGGAGGGAAAGAGGGGCAGGGAAAGACTAACAGAGAAGAAGTTAAGATAGTCTGGTGTTCTCGCATGGAGGAACACCTGCATCAGAAATTACTGCCGGTATACGAGACAGACAGTTGGAGACAAATATGATGATCAATTCTCCACACAAGGGCTATTCAACTAAGTTTACTCAGGGGCCAAATTTTGAAAATGGATTTCCATGAGCCAGAGGCTCGAGCCCCAGCAAAGAAAGATCATTAATACAATACAACCAGCAATAATCCGTGGGCTACTTGCTAGGCCTCAGCGGGCCACAGATTGCCTGCAGACAGCCAGTTGATTAACCTTGCTACACCAGTGATCTTTGGTGGTGCAAGGAGGTTTCAAGCAATTCTTAAAGTGCATTTGTACTTGCAATAATCCGTCACATAACACATTTTTGTTTTAGTTTAATCATAAATAGAGTACTTTAAAAAAAAAAAAAAAAAAAAAAAAACTATTTGTGAACAAAACGACAAGGACATTTTCGTTTCCCTGAGCAGTTTGTATATTTGATGTTTAAAAAATCTAATCTATGGTAACGCACACTTAAAGATTAAATTCTGACCAAAAAATTTATCTATCCTTTCTGTTTTCCTTGTTTGCGGAATCTACGAACCTCTTTTTAATCACATTTTGTTATGGTGGGGGGAGTGGGGGTACGGATGTCTTGCCATATACTCAAGGGTGTGTATGTGTGTGCATTCTGAACAAGGCTGAGACCACTAATCTACAGAATGAACTTTTAAGAACATTGATCACCATTCAGTATGTCCTTTACAGCAGTGTTCTTCAACCTGTAGGCCAGGGGAAAAGTCCATGCGGGATGCCCACAATTTTTTTGTTAAATAAAGTCATGACATATGGTAGGTTGTTTACGAGCTGCTCCCCGCTGATCTCCAGAGGGCGCGGCCAAGTCGAGCGGGAAGCCTAATACGGTTGTAAGGTTAAGCAGTTATGTGCAGGACGTGACGATTCCTTGGGTGAGCCCAGAACCAGAGCATTATGTATCGGCTCTGCTCTTATGGAAGCCTCCTTGGATGGTGGGGAATGCCCACGATCTGCCCCTGCCTTCCCTTGAGGGCTAACCGTACCACACAGGGCTGCCCCAAAGGGGGTACTCCGGGGGCAACACCTGTGGAGAGAGGGACAAAGAGGACACCACACAAATAAGGTAACATATCGACCCACACAAAACATTGGCCACAGTCATCCTAGAAATAGGCCTGATGTGTTCCCTCAAAGTCGGAGTACAACTGCTTGTGAGGCAGGAAACGGCAAAAGCCAGTAAAACGATTGTACACGCAAAACTCAGGTCCAGGTAAATGCCTAAAGTTCAAATGGACGATAAACCTGGACCTACCGCCAGAATTCACAGCCGATAAAAGAAGAAGAAGGTAGGTTGTTGTTTTCTTTCATTCTGCAGAGAGAGAAAACAGAGGGAAAAAAAAAGAATAAAAATGTAACTTACTGAAAATTGCTTCCGTACAAAATAGCCTCTAATATGAGCCTGTAGACAAATGGCGGCCTTGTGCCTCTTCCGCAGGACTGCTCCCAGTCTTCTGGCAAGAAAGCCTCTGACAGCTGCCTGCAGTATCACAAGTGATCGAAGTTTGGCCAGGAAGTGGCATCTACACAAGTACTGCCTGATACTTGCTTGAATGGTCACAACAGACTCAAGTTTGACCATTTGCCTTCTGTGCATGTACCTCCATACAACTCTTTGAATTACAGCAGCTGAAGCATTCTTTTCCTGGCAACATTTCTTCTGGGATTGCAGATGAGTACAAGTGATGCCCACAGGAGCTAAATGTCTTGTCTCAGTCTCACAACTTGGGTAAGTATGACCCAAGCTCTGGACAGCTACAGCTGTTTCCTTGACTAACTGCTGCCATTTCATTTCCCCAAATTTCGTATCAGAATCTGATGCTTCGGATTCTTGAGAAGAATCACCCAGATATTGCAGTTTACAAGATGACTGTATTTTCAACACAGACCCCTCTAGACGATGGCACCTTTGTGCCAGCTTGGCTGAAACAGAGGTCTCATCTGTAACAGCACCTTGATAAAGGTTCAACAATTCCTTCCTGGTTTTTCTCATCTGTTGCAGACTTCTCACCCTTCTCTGCAGTTTAACCACTTGTTTCACACTCTCTCTGTATCGATGTCTTTGGATGAATGTCCTAATACATGCCTGAAGAGCAACCATTAACTGTATGTGATCCTGATGGCATTGTCTCTGTGATTTCATTCTAAAATATGTCTGTATTATAACAGCTGCATTATGTTTAGCTACAAATTCTTCTTGACACTGTATTCCCGCAATAGTTCCTTCTGCAGCATAATTCCTTATTGCCAGCTTTTCAAAATATTTGATTCTGGCCTGATATCCCCTCATGAATTTCTGAATAACAACTGCAGCTTGTTCTCTTCTTGTTTCTTTTGTTCTCCTTTCACCTTCAGCATCAGCTGCTGCATTCATATCCTCTTCAATGTCACTGTTTTCTTCCGTCCTCTCATCTTCAGCTATAGCTGCCCAACTCACTTCCCCTTTAATGTCACCTTTTTCTTTTGTCCAGCTTTCATTTTTAGCATTACCAATGCTGTTTTCCTCTTCTATGTCACATTTTTCTTCTGTTCTGTTCTCAAACCCCACATTACCAACTCTCACTTTGCTTGTAATCTCACATTTTTCTTTGTGTCTGCTCTCAGCTCCGGAATTTGTCACACTTACTCGCCCTTCAATGTCAGACTTTCCTTCTTTTCTGCTCTCAGTGCCTGCATTACTAACACTCACTTCCTCATTAATGTGGCATTTTCCTTCTTTTCTGCTCTCAGTGCCTGCATTACTAACACTCACTTCCTCATTAATGTGACATTTTCCTTCTTTTCTGCTCTCAGCTCCTGCATTACTAACACTCACTTCCTCATTAATGTGGCATTTTCCTTCTTTTCTGCTCTTAGCTCCTGCATTGCTAACACTCACTTCCTCATTAATGTGGCATTCTCCTTCTTTTCTGCTCTCTGCTCCTGCATTACTAACACTCACTTCCTCATTATTGTGACATTTTCCTTCTTTTCTGCTCTCAGCTCCTGCATTACTAACACTCACTTCTCCTTCAGTGTCACACTGTTCTTCAGTCCTCTCAACTCCTGCATTACAAACTCTCACTCCTTTAATGTCACATATTTCTTCTGCTCTTTTCTTTGCTCCAGCACTACCCATACTCACTTCCTCTTCAATTCCACACTTTTTTTCTCCCAGTATTTTTATTTGTTCTCTTTGTTTCTCAGAGCTCAACTCCTCAGTGTGCCTTTTCACCTCCTGCACTCGCTTGAACAATCTAAATTGCTTCTGAATAATGCATGCAGCCTGTCTCAGCTGCATAATCTCAGTCCTCACAGCTCTACCTGCCAAACAAGACCTATACCATTGCTGGATCATAACGGTTGCTGCTTGCAGTAACAGATACTTATTATTCTGTCTCCAGCCTCTATAGACAGCTTGAATTCTTGTAGCTGCAGCATGTTGGCAAGCCAACTCTTTCAAGGCCCTCCTTTCAGCTAATCTTGATCTGTAGAGTCTCTGAATAATGACGGCTGATGTTTTTAACCGCAAGAAAGCTTCTCGGTGCATCTTGCTTAGTCTAACTGATCGGAAGTGTACCTGGATTGTAACAGCAGCATGTTTTAGTTTCTGAAACTGATTCCGCATAATTCTTCCTTTAATATGGGCCTGTATCTTTATGGCCGACTGACGAATGTATAAATATTGTCTTCTGATTAAAATGGCTCTGTAAGTGGTTTGTATAATGCTCGCCGCTTGCTTCTGCCGGAGAAACTGTTGTCTGATGGTTCTAGCTTTCAGATATTCTCTAAAATATTTCTGAATTGTCTGGGCAGCGTGTTTCTGATGGAGAAATTGTTTCCTGGTTGTTCTAGCTTTCAGATATTCTCTAAAATATTTCTGAATTGTCTGGGCAGCGTGTTTTTGATGGAGAAATTGTTGCCTGGTTGTTCTAGTTTTCAGATATTCTCTAAAATATTTCTGAATTGTCTGGGCAGCATGTTTTTGATGGAGAAATTGTTGCCTGGTTGTTCTAGTTTTCAGATATTCTCTAAAATATTTCTGAATTGTCTGGGCAGCGTGTTTTTGATGGAGAAAATGTTGCCTGGTTGTTCTAGTTTTTAGATATTCTCTAAAATATTTCTGGATTGTCTGAGCAGCTTGTTTGTGTTGTAGATATTTCCTCTGAGCTTGTATTTTTCTGAATGCAGTTTGCAAAACAAGTGCAGCTGCTGTTTGTTTTATATTTCTTTTACGTAGGTATCTGCGAAAGCTTTTCTGAATGACAATAGCTGCACTCTTCTTGGTTACATATTCTTTTCTAACTTCAAGACCGTGAATGTAATTTCTGCAATGATACTGTATGACAATGGTTGCCTCTTTCACTGCCAGAAATTTCTGCCTGCACTGAAAGCGCCTACAATGGGCTTGTATGATCACAACTGAACGCCTTATTTTGTGAAATTTATGTCGGAGGATCTGGCTTCTCCACCAGCTCTGAATAAGAATAGCAGACACCTTTTGATTAAGAAAGACTGATCGCTGGTGTTTGCCTAAAACTGCAGCTCTGTACCAAGCTTGTATAAGTGATGTTGCTTCTTTAATGCGCCAGTACTGCTGTTTCGCCTGGGTCATTTTCCACCAGCACTGTATGACAGTTGCAGCTCTTCTTCTTGACGCTAATATCTGGCGTGTTACATATCCTCTCCACACTTTTTGAATGCACAAAGCTGATCTTTCGCGCTTTGTCGACCTCAATGTTAAATACAACCTGCGATCTCTGATCATTTTCCAGGTAGCCTGCAAAACTACTGCAGCTGTCTTCAGCTTGAGAAAATAACTTCTGCACATCCACATCCTGAAGTGACTCTGAAGTACAAGAGCTGCAGTTTCCTGTTGTTGATGTCTAAGTTCCTTTAAGAGTTTCATGGCCAGAACAGCTCTCCACCACTTCTGTATAGCAACAGTTGAACGCTTCAGTCGAATGTAACCTCTTCTCTGTATGAACCCTCTGAAATATCTCTGAATTTTAGTTGCTGCATGCAGCTGATTCTCTAACTGAAGTCTTGTCAACATATTCTTTGCACAGTGCATCCTCCATGTTTTCTGGATTGTAATAGCAGCCCTTTTATATTTCTGGAACTCTTGCTTACATCTGAACCCTCTGTAGCAACACTGTATAAGAGTGGCTGAATGTTCTCGTTGCTTCTGTTTCAATGTTTGTAATTCTCTCTTTGCTTGTAACATTCTCCACACTGACTGTATCAAGATAATAGATTTACGTTGAGCATGATACTGTTGCAGAGCTTTGTAACATCTGAAATACTTTTGTATCACAGTTGCTGATTGATTTTGTTGTTGTTGTCTTTGTTTCAACTTCAGCAATTCCCTCTTTACTTGTAACATTCTCCATGTTGATTGTATCAAGACAGCAGATTTTTGCTTAGCACGGTACTGTTGCTGAGCTTTGTAACATTTGAAATACTTTTGTATCACAACTGATGCTTGATTTTCTTTGTGTTGCTTTTGTTTTAAATCCTGCAATTCTCTCTTTGCCAGTAACATTCTCCACATAGACTGTATCAAGATAATAGATTTCTGTTGAGCACGGTACTGTTGCTGAGCTTTGTAACATTTATAATACTTTTGTATCACAACTGCTGCTTGTTTCTCTTGTTCCTGCTGTTTCTGTTGTAACTCCAGCAATTCTCTCTTTGCCAGTAACATTCTCCACATAGACTGTATCAAGATGGCAGATTTCTGCTGAGCACGCAACTGACGCTGAACTCTGTAACGTCTGAAACACTTTTGTATCACAATGGCTGCTTTGTGGCCTCTTTCTGCTTTCAAAGCCACTAATTTCCGCTGGGCAATAATTTTTCTCCAGTTTTTCTGTAAAATTATGGTTGCATTTCTCAGTCTCACATACTTCTGTCGACAAATGACTGATTTCAGGAAGCCTTGCACAAGAACAGCTGCTTTGTTTGCTCTGTCTGTTTTCAGCTTTGCTAGCTCTCTCTTTGCTTGTTTCTTTCTCCAGTAGCCCTGCAAGACAACTACAGCTTGTTTGAGTTCCTGAAATTTCCTCTGTTGTAGTCTACCTTTAACATGTTTCTGAATCACAATAGCAGCCTTTGAGCATTTCTCAGCCCTGAGCGCTTGCAATATACGTCTGCTCTGTCTTATTCTCCAACACTTCTGAAATGAGATTACAGCATTTCTTATCTTCCTGTACTGAATCAAACAGACATGCATTTTCATCCAGTTCTGAATAACAACTGCTGCATTTTCTATCTGCTTTTTCTTAAGTGCAGAGAATTGTTTTCTTGCCAACTGTCTTCTCCACAAAGCCTGAATCCTGATGACAGACGCTTGGTGACGCAGAAATTCTTGCTGGCAGCGAAATCGTCTAACATGTTTTTGTATGGTGATAGCAGCTGCCTCTTCTCTTCTGTGAATGGTTTCCTGCATCTTTTGCTGTTTGAGCAGTATCTCACGGTAGTGCTCAACTAACTGGGGCTGCCACAGTCTCTGACACTTGGAGATGACTGGAAGCTCACCCTCCTGGATCATCTGTTTCAGCTTGGCCACATAAAGACGAGCAGCAAAACCTCGCCAAGTGGCCTGAATGTGGACTGCAGCTCGAATCTCGGCCTCTCTGATCTTCTTCTGCTTGGCTAGCACATATCGAAACCAGTGCTGAATCATAACTGCTGCTTGTGTTTTTCTCTGGAAATGGAGTAAAGAATAAAATAATCATTTGATGATGCCTCTTAGACCGCGATTTAACAGTACATGCTGTTTATGAATTAATACTTTCAATAAGATATTTTAGGTCCTTTTCTGTCGATATCGGTTGTTACTTTCAGATGCATATCTAAATCCTATGCATATATTCAAAAGAGCTATTTGGTAATCATTTGTTTGACTAGTTATAGATTCAAAAGACTATCTATACATTCAGTGGATTAGTTATACATTCAGTAGCCTAGCTATACATTCAGTAGACTGGCTATACATTCAGTAGATTGGCTATACATTCAGTAGACTGGCTATACAATCAGTAGACTACCTATACAATCAGTAGACTAGCTATACAATCAGTAGACTAGTTATACATTCAGTAGCCTAGCTATACATTCAGTAGACTATTTAGTTATACATTCAGTAGCCTAGCTATACATTCAGTAGACTAGCTATACATTCAGTAGACTAGCTATACATTCAGTAGACCAGTTATACATTAAGTAGATTAGTTATACATTCAGTAGACTAGCTATACATTCAGTAGACTAGTTAGTTTTACATTCAATAGACTAGTTATACATTCAGTAGACTAGCTATACATTCAGTAGACTAGTTAGTTTTACATTCAATAGACTAGTTATACATTCAGTAGCCTAGTTATACATTCAGTAGACTGGGTGTGCATACATTTAGACTAGATTTTCATCTAGTAAACTAGTTATACATTCAGTAGACTAGTAGACAAATTAACAATCTAACTGGAAGAAAGATACGAGTAAACACAGGATGTCTGAAATCAAAAGCAGGAGAGATCTTAATGGAGAAAGATGTTATAATAACTAGATGGAATTCCAGGAATGAACACATAAGAAAGTTATATGATGGAAAGAGAGCAGAATTACCAGAAGAAAGAAATGTAGAAGGTCCGTCTATACTAAAGAAAGAAGTTAGCGATGCTATTAAATCATACGAAGAAAGGAAAGTCAACTGAAATTTCAGTAGAAGAATTATAAGTACTGGAGGAATTTGGGGCAGAAATATTAACTAAACCATTGAATGACATTTATAACACTGGGTACATTCCAAGTGATATGATGAAATCTGTATTTATTGCATTACCCAAAAGACCAGAAGCATTTGAATGTGAAGAATTGTGTACAATCAACTTAATAAATCATGTCACCAAGTTACTACTTAGAATTATAATGAGAAGAAGAAAAAGAAAAATAAGAATGGAAATGAGTGAAGAGCAGTATGGATTTATGGAAGGTAAAGGGACAAGTAATGCAATTTACTTATTACGAACACTAATAGAAAGATCAATGGACATACAACAGGACTTATTTTTGTGCTTTATAGATTATACCAAAGCATTTGACAAAGTTAAACATGAGGAGATGATAACTGTAATGATGCTATAAATAGGGATAACGTCAGGGGATGACTGGCATAATTGGGTAAGTCCCTGAGAGCATGGGTTTCACGGAGATATGGTGAAACGACAAGAGAGAGTGAGTCACGTGTGAATGCAAGATCTGGGGGATTGAGAATCAGGTGGTCAATCGGTGACTGGGCCCCAGACTGGAAGGATGTAAAGCTGAATCTGTGAAGGTGAATCCAGAATGAAGAGTGCACGTGGATCTGAATCAGAGTCAAATGAATGATCGTGAAGGCCAGCCGTTGTGTTACACGGTTTGATTGTTGAGCCAGCCGTGTATATGCCAGTGTCCATCGTCTGAAGCCTTAATGCGTGAGCAAGACGAGATTGCCCGAATGGTGTAAGTTGGTTCTTCTGTTGATTCGTGTCTTGTGCTACAGTGATAATAAACCTGTGAAATGTGTCAGCTGGTGTCAACCGTCGTTTGAAGTTGTGTGGCCGTGGAGAGAAATGCCGTCTGGTTAGAATGAGCTGTGACCTAACACCTAGACAACAGAGTCAGTGTTGAATCTGCACTAGAGAGATCAAGTGTGGAGGAGACACAAGTACATTCATTACATTAGAGGCTCGTCCTTAGTGGGAATACAGTGTAATTTCTAAGTATGAATTACATTAGAGGCTCGTCCTAAGTGGGAATACACTGTAATTTCTAAGTATGAATTACATTAGAGGCTCGTCCTAACTGTGGCAGTACATTAGGCGTAGGGTTGTTGTGGACAGACGTAAAATTTAGACAAACACCGGCAGCCGTAAGCTGAGAGTGATTATGTGTGTTGGATGATGGAGTTTAAAGTGTCGGGGTATTATGTAAGACCAGGACATGCTGTCGAGGGGCGTTAAGTAAATCCGGGACAACTGAAATCCAGACTCTATTCATTCTCAAACTAACAAGCTTGCCTGAGAAAAATTTGTAGAAACACGGCGAGTGAATACTGGGTAATGTATTACTCCACTTGTTAGAAATTTCACACGTTTTATCCTGCGACGTGGGAACTTTTGTTCGTGGCTGGAGGAGACAGTGTAGGCTGAACTTTTGACCCTCGTGGTGGGTAATCCATGAAGGAAAATGGTCAGCAGTTGTATCTCTGTAATCGTTATTTCAAACGAGTGGTCGTAAATCAAAGATACCAATTTTGGACTGGATTTCTCCGCAAATACACTACAACGCCAGGGGCCAAGACGGTAATCAGTTACAGCGAACTCAAGGTCAACACGCTAAGAATCAATGCGGTCATCAGCTCCGGTCAAACCGTCAAGTACAACACAGTAGCAGCTAATAGGTCATCAGCGACAGGTAACTCGAGTCAACAGTACAACACACTTGCCACAAGTGAATACCTCAAGTCAAGAACACATGTCAAGATAAAAAAGTAACAACGGGGTCCAGTCAGTAAGAGAAGTAGTCTTGTGCTACAGTGATAATAAACCTGTGAAATGTGTCAACTGGTGTCAACCGTCGTTTGAAGTTGTGTGGCCGTGGAGAGAAATGCCGTCTGGTTAGAATGAGCTGTGACCTAACACCTAGACAACAGAGTCAGTGTTGAATCTGCACTAGAGAGATCAAGTGTAGAGGAGATACAAGTACATTCATTACAATAACAATGTTGGAAGACATCAATGTAGATGGGATAGATCTCAGAATAGTTAAGTACATTTACTGGAAACAAGTTGCAGCAATTAAAGTGGGAAACAGATTGGGTACTTTTGAACAGATAAAGCAAGGCGTAAGACAAGCATGTGTCTTATTCCCTGTCCTTTTCTCTCTATATAGTGAAATAATTTTGAGAGAAATTAAAGACAACGCAGGAGTAATAGTTGGAGGATACCATATTTGCGTAATGCAGACGATACAGTTTTGATAGCTGAAAATGCAACTGAGTTACAACAACTGCTGGATATTGTGGGGATGGAGAGTACTAAGAAAGGACTTTTATTGAATATTAAGAAAACGGAAGTAATGGTTATTTCAAAGAAGAAGATAATTCCAAGTTGTAAAATCTTAGTTAAAGGAAAAAAGACTTAACCAAGTCAATAAATTTAAATATCTGGGAACAATCATATCATTAGATGGAAACTGTGTGACAGAAATTAAAAACAGAATAGGTCAAGCAAAAGCAGCATTTCAGAAAATGAAAAATATCTTAGGCAATAAATCGCTCTCATTTAATGTCAGAAAGAGGGTGCTACAATGTTACATAGAACCTGTTCTGCTGTATGTCACTGAACAAATTAAGAAGAATTTGGAAGCAAGAGAGATGTGGTTTCTGAGACGAATGTTACGAATACCTTGGACGGCTAGAGTAACTAACAACGATTGCCTGAAAGAGGCTATTGAAAGTAGATCTCTATATACAACAATAAGAAAGAGACAAACACTGTTCTTTGGCCACATAATGAGAAGACAGACATTGGAGAACATCGTGACAACTGGAAAGATCAGTGGAAAAAGGGGTAGGGGCAGACCAAGAGAGATAATGCTGGATGAGCTAAAACGATGGCATGGATATCATCAAGAGTGCTGTTCCAGTCAACCAGGGATCGTGATCTGTGGAGACGCATGAGCGCCTACGCCAGCTGGCAGGGCACATGATGATGATGAGACTAGTTATAAATTCAGTAGATTAGTTATACATAACAGTTAGGTAGGTAGTTAGATGGATGGATATCTCATCATCCTCTTTCATGTTGATGATTAGATATATGTGTGATCATGGTCCGCCATCTCACACAGACACAAGTCTCAGTTTACAGCTGTGTTTTTAGTCCGATAAGTCATTTGGCTAAACTGTCTACAAGTTTTTTTACTTTGTTTTCCTCAATTTTCATGAAGCAAACCAGTTGTCACTACATTTTAAAGTTTACTTCTTTCAATATTTGCACAAACATTGAAAAAAAAAGTGACAGCCAAATTTTTATATTTGGCATCATTTGTTTTTTTAATCCATTCATGTGAGGATAAATAGTTTGATGGAAAGGAAGGTAGATGGACAGACATTTAAAATGGACAGACCTGGTATGTTACTGTGTTGTGTGGAGGGGGCACATCAGGAAAGGAATCAGAATGAAGGAAGAAAAGATGGCAGAAAGGATAAGAGCTAAACATCTGAAAAGAAACGGACTAAACACAAATGTTGACAACAACGGTCCTGAAATCCCATGCTTTAATTGTGGCAGACTTTTCTTAACGTGGGCGGGTCTCGCTAGTCACATTCGCCATCGCCATGGGCGATGCTTCCTCGCCATGCTTCCTCACAGCGCAATATAACACAATCGTCTGGAAAGGTGCTAATCAATCAATCATTAGTATGTCATCTGTTAGGTGATAAATAATCCTTGCATTGGAACCCACAGGGAAGAAGGAAAAAAACATAAAATACATAGAAAAAGGGTAAAGGAAACATAAAAATACACTGGAAAACAATTAAGGTAATTTCATGTTTGGTAGTCTGACATTGCTGCTGAAAAGTCAGGTCTTGGTATCACTGCGAAGCAGTCTGCTGTCAAATCATCAGCAGTTGGGATCAAAGATATAGAAAAAACACAC